TATTTATGCCTTGGCACACCTAGCAAGGTGTGCCAAGGCACACGGTAGTGCAACTGAGCGAAATGAGCCAAATCCAATGTATCCCTTTTGTGCAGAGTAGTTTTGGTGTAATATTGCATATACAATATAATTTAAATAAGAAAATCTTAAAAAAAATAAATGGTTTTATAACGACGAGAATGTATCAAAAGTAGTTTTATTATAAGTTAATTAATTACATAGTTATTAAAATTGGTAATTTCAGGGGTAATTTTTGCTGTTAAATTTTTATTTTCCTTCGTAACGAAAAATTTCAGCCAAAAATTTCAAATTTTAATTGAAGATTATGTGTATATATGTCCCAACAAAATTTTCGATCAAAATTGAACTTTTGCCCAAAATTGCTCACTTCAGATAAGGTTATCAGCGCTTGATATAGAGTTCGATCACTATAGCTATGTTTAGTAACCAAATAAGTTAACTCATATTTTATTTGGTTAACTTATAAGTTAGCTTCCTGTATTTAAAAAAGTTCTGTTTGGTAGAACGATTTTTTTTAGTAAGCTCGAACATATCTCATAAGTTTCGTTAAGTATCTTTTCAGATTAGCTCATTGAAATTTTTATTTCAACTAAATTTACCGAACACTTTTATTATACAAGTTAACTTTTCAGCTATAAGTTATACGCCCGAAACTCACTTAAAAACTATAAGCTAGCTTATCAGCTAAGTTTATCACAATGTCTGATAATTTCATAGGAATGTAGGCTATCCTTGGTAAACTTAGCTGATAAGCTAGTTTATAGTTTTTAATTGAATTTCAAGCTTATAGGTTATAACTGAAAAACTAGCTTATATAATAAAAGTGTTTGATAAAATTAACTGATAAACTAGCTGAAATAAAACTTTCAACGAGTTTAATTATTTGAAAAGCTATCAAAAGAAACTTTTGAGATAATCTTATACTTTAAAATAAAAAAAATCGTCCTACCAAACGAAATTTATTTAAATACAGGAAACTTATAAACTAAGCAAATAAGCTAGCTATAACGAAATTTATTTAAATACAAAAAGCTTATAAGCTAAACAAATAATCTATAAACTAGATTACATGAGTACCAAACATAGCTTTAAACTCCCCATCCCACTTGCAATAACTATAAAGAAAATGTACAGATAAAAGATAGATATATAAGTCTGTCAAAAATTTTATATGGCAAGTGATTAAGCCACATAAAGGGAAAAAATTGACCAAGCTAGATAGCCAAAAATTTAAAGTTTCTTAGTTCTTCTCTTTTATATTCTTATTGGAGAAGTAATTTTAAATTTATCATTCTTCTATTTAATTCAAGGAGTTGTCAAACAAATGGAATAAAATAAAATAAAAATAAATATTAAACTATTTATTTTGTCACTAAACTAATTCATACTACATCTTTCCAAATTCTCATCACTCTAGGGTTTAATTTTCCAGCACATATTTCTGCAAATTATTCTTATTTTTTATTCAATTTTTTTTCCACACTCACTGTGTGTGTTTTTCCCACTTACCATTTTCCATAGTTGAGTACCCATAGCTTTAGTCCACCTGCAGTCTTCCAGCTTCCTCACTAACACATTCAAGATCTGTTCCTTTTTTCTTTTATCATATTAAAAAACAAGAA